GTTTCATTGACGGACTTTTCCCAGCAGTCCGTCATAACATCGTAGGCCACGGGACAAAGACGTATGCTCGTGCAGTCTCCATTGCTCAGGAGGTGGATGCCAGCATTAGGAGGGAGGTTGTTCGTGGTCAGTCGTCTTCAGTTCCACCGATGTCAGCTCTGCCATCTACCCAGCCGGCCAAGAACAACAAGAGGAAGGATAAGGGTGCCCAGACAGATAAGAGGGCCAAGAAGAAGCATCAGCAGGTTCCACAGTGCCCGACATGTGGACGTCATCACCGAGGTGAGTGTCGCTTTGGTCAGGATGTGTGCTTCTATTGCCATGAGCCCGGACACTTTGCAAATCGTTGTCCGAAGAAGGGACAGCAGCCTCAGCAGGCTCAGCAGCCTCAGCAGCCACAGCAGCAGCAGCAGCCCCGTCAGCAGGCACAGAGGCAGCCTCAGCAGCAGCAGCAGAGGGGTAGACAGCAGGCCAGGGTCTGCGCCATTGATCAGGCAGAGGCCGAGCAGCAGCCAGGTACCATGTCCGGAATGGTTATTCTTAATAATGTTCCTGTATTTGCCTTGTTTGATACCGGAGCTACTCATACCTTCATTTCACGACGATGTCTTGATGCCATCGGAGTTCACGCTACTTCCGCTATTGATCCTCTCGAGGTGAGTTTGGCCTCGGGACGAAAGATAGTAACTTCAGCTAAAGCCTCAGATCTTAGCCTTTCCATCGGTGGCCGAGTTTTGCCTACCGACGCGTTTGTTCTCGAGATGAAGGACTTCGACCTGATTCTCGGGATGGATTGGCTATCTTTCTATCATGCGGATATCAAATGTCGCGATCGGGAGATTACTCTGTATCTTCCGAGAGATGAGTCGATCACTTTCTTCAGCTCCAGAAACCGTTCTTTGCCTCATGTTGTTTCGATGGCGAAAGCCACTAAGTTATTGCGACGAGGCAACTGCCAGGGTTAACTGGTGAGCCTTGTTGACGATTCTCAGAGAGCGCGTTCACCTCTTGATGTTCCAGTCGTCTGAGAGTTTGTGGATGTTTTCCCAGACGAGCTTCCAGGAGGACCGCCCGACCGTCAGGTGGAGTTTTCTATAGACCTTATCCCAGGGGCCGGTCCAATATCCAAAGCCCCGTACCGTATGGCTCCTAAAGAGTTGCAGGAGCTTAAGGCGCAG